CGGATCAATTACATACCTCTCCCCCTCTCACAGCCTCAACCCCAGGCCCTTGAATTTCCTCTAAACGTAGATTTGATTCTTCATATCTTGGTTCATTCTATCCGATCCATCTATCCCTGTTTCCATCATCATCATCTCATTGAGCTATAACTCATCCATTCGTCTTCCTTTGATCTGCTTGTCTAACGAGCTGTTTCTTTGAATTTTTGTTAGATCCAATCTATCCTGAATCGTCATTTTAAAGTCATTGGTCCTTGTTTTTTTTCCACTTGGTCAATTGGCTCTCTGAGATAAGGGCATACTTTTATCTATCTCTTAAACAAAACTTCGCACACACACTCTATCAATTCTTATCATCACCATGTCTGGTTCACCGTACGTCTCGGCCACCAGTCCGACCTCTCATCATCCATCGCATCAACCTCCTACGACGCCTTCGTCTCAGCACTATCCTCACCGTAATTCTTTACATCATCCCTCGCACCCTCCTTCTGGCCCACCCAACTCGACCCACCGTCACAACTCGACTGGTTTTGCTGCGATGCCACCAAACGGGCACCCTGCCCCCTCAACGGCTTTTCATCCTCAACACTCATCCGCCAACACTCATACTCTTCAACATTCTCGTGACCACCCTGTTCGGGAACCAGCCCAAATTCACCTTCCCCAACCTTCTCATCACCACCCACAACAACAACGTGATCGGAGGGACTCGCTTTCACGGGATCAACTCCATCACCGTGAACGAGAACAACACCACCTTCGGGATCAGCAACAACGTGGAATTCCTCCGATGGGAGATCCAATCCAACATATCGGAGATCCTCATCAGCAGCAGCAACCCCACCTGCATCAACATCCAGCACATCATCATCATCAGCAACAACAACATCATCATCATCATAATCCCCAGGCTGCTCATCATCATCAGCAACGAGATCCCCATCATCTTCCCCAACCTAATCAGCACGCCATACACCCTGCTCATTCCCCATCGCTTCCGTCTCCTGCCCCACACCCCCACGCGCATCAATCATTACCTCCTCCCAACTTGGTTCACCTCTCCAATCCGGCTCCTCCCAACAACAACAACAACTCCATGCCACCATCTCAACCTCCTATGACGGGCTACTCAGGCCCTCCTCCTGCCGGACCTTCTAATGGCAGTACTTCTGGTCCTAGCCCTCATCTCTCACGACCACCCCCACCTCACTCTCAACCTCTTCACCCTCCAGCCTTACCTTGCAACGGCGCTTCTTCTGCTGCTCCAAGCAGACAACTCGCCCAGCCTCCACCCCCACCGCCTGGTGCACCAGCTATCAATGGTACGCCCGCTGGCGAGGAGGCCATGGTTGCTGCCATCATCAGAGATGGCGAGGTGAGTCTAGCAAATGACATGGGTGACTGGCGTCCCCCTACAAATCCTATACTGGAACGTCTGGTGAAAGAAACCGAATTGACTTGGCTTGCAGCTGGTACGTTGTATCCTCTGTGTATCTTGAGCCTCGATTTCTGATACTTTCCCTGTTTGCAGGCAGTACTGGAGAGACCTTGGGAAATTACACGCGCGCAGTGGAATGCTATGAACGAGCCCTACGCCAAAATCCACTTTCGGTACCTGCATTGACCAAAGCGGCGGGCATTTATCGTCATCAAGAAAACTTCAAACTTGCAGCTGATTATTTTAGCAGGCTGTTGAAGATTCATGAAGGTAGCGGTGAAATTTGGGGAGCTCTAGGTGAGTTTTTCAGAACCGCTTGCCGAAAGGACATGTTGAAGATCACATATCTGACAATGATCACAATGATCTGCTTTTATGCTTACAGGTCATTGTTACTTGATGACCGACGATTTACAAAAGGCATACACTTCCTATCAACAAGCTTTACACCATTTCCAGACTCCCAAATCCGAACCTAAGCTATGGTATGGAATTGGTATCTTGTACGATCGATACGGTAGTCTTGAGCATGCTGAGGAGGCTTTCAGTAGCGTCATTAAAATGGATCCTAGTGCGTCTTTGTCCATTTATTTCTTCGATGCCGATCATCAGTGCTGATGGGGCGCTTATTCCATTAGATTTCGAAAAGGCCAACGAGATTTACTTTCGATTGGGCATCATATACAAGCAACAACGCAAGGCTGATTTGAGCTTGGAGGTATGTATTTCCATTCATTGTCAGCGCCTATACTTGACGCTGAGCGAGTGTACACTTTTTTTATCATGTTGGCAGTGTTTCCAATGGATTCTAGACAAGCCACCTTCACCATTGACCGAGATTGATATCTGGTTTCAAGTGGGACATGTACACGAACAACAAGGGCATGTAAGTATTTGACTTTATGCCCAAATGATCGATCCTCAATTAACCATTCCTCCTCACTGTCACTCAGTTTGATCGAGCCAAAGAGGCATACGAACGTGTCCTGGACGAAAACTCCACACATGCCAAAGTGTTGCAGCAATTGGGCGGTTTGTATTGTAGAGAAGGCAGTAGCTTTTACAACCCTGAGCAGGCTGTAGCTATCATAACTCGCAGTTTAGCAGCTGGTCAGTTATCAGATCCTTCTCAATATCGAATCTATTACTGATTCCCCGATTATCGCCTCATTTGATCTTCACAGATTCGCATGATGCCTTTAGTTGGTATCTGTTGGGTCGGGCTTACATGACCATCCAAAACTTCAACAAGGCTTATGAATCATACCAACAAGCTGTCTATCGCGATGGCAAGAATCCTGCGTTCTGGTGTTCGATTGGAGTTTTATACTATGCTATCATGCAATACCATGATTCACTCGATGCGTATTCACGCGCAATCCGACTCAATCCGTACATCTCCGAGGTCTGGTACAATCTAGGTGCCTTGTATGAATCATGCAACGATCAGATGCTGGATGCCATTGATGCTTATCAGCGCGCCGCCCAACTCGATACCAATAATGCCCACATCAATGCTCGCCTCAACGATATCAAACGACACCAAGAGACGGGTGCTGCTTTGGGCCGTCCTCCTTCACCTCGGGACATGACTCACACCTCGGCTAATTGGCCTTTTCCAAATGCTCTAAACGGTCCATCTGACCATAACTTTGGTCCCGTTCCTGCTCAACACGAAGAGTCCGCACGGAATGGCGCAGGTTCTGGTGGTCCAGCCCCACTGTCCCCTATTGCTAACACCGCGACTAACCCCAATTCAGTCAACACGCATTCAAACTCTGCTCAGGCCATTAGCCCATTGTCCTCGCGGCCGAATGCTGTTCGCCCTGGTACATCGAGTAGCTCGATCGTAATGCGACCACAATCACCTGGGTCCTTTAATCATCACGGTTCTCAACCTCAGCATCTCGCCGGTCATCATGGTACACATCCTTCTCTACCCCCAACGCACTCGCATCCTCCAGGTCCTCATCACCCAGCCTCACATGCTTCCTCTACACTTCATCGTCGACAGTCTGGTGGCTATGGATCCCTGGCGCCCATGGAGTTAGAGCCATCCCACGCGGGTGGCCGAGGTCCGGCTTCATCTCAGCATACTCTGCCTCATCTTCGTTCAGTGGTCGACTCTCAATCGCGAGGCCCGTCACCTGCCCCGGCTTCTGATAGTCTAAGACGTGGTGTAGTCGGCATATCAGGACCAGGATCCCGAGATATAGCTTCTCCTAGGACATCACCATCCATAAGGGCTGGTATGGCACCCAATGAACGTGGTAATTATACTGCGACTGCGGCTTCACTTCATCACCCCCAAACCCATTCTGGACCTCCGCCTGTCTATTCTCGTTACCCGCCTAATCAAGAGGACGGCCAGCCACCGCAGAGTAATGGCTCAATTGCGAGTCATCGTGAACGAGAGCGAGAGCGTGCCTCGCGAGAACCGACTCGATTCCGACGTCATTCACCAGAGTTTCGCGCAGGACAAGGTGATCGAGGAGCACGTTCTCCCAATGGTCATCCACCATCTAATATGTATCCTCCTCGTGGTGAATTTGGTCCTTCAGCCTACACAGTCCCCACTCAACCTCAACACCAATCACCATATGACCCCAGACACGCCTCTCCTACTCTTCGTGGTCCATCTACTGCCCCACAATTCTCGCCCGAGTCTGGCCAGTCACCCACTTGGTCTCCAGTACCGGCTGAACATCGACACAGCGCAGGCGGTCCTCCACCTTCACACGATGGCCGACATACACCATCACAGGCTGGGTATCCTGGACCGCATCCGTCTCAGACTCATCAGCCATCGGCGTCTCAAGCCCACCAGCCTAATCCTCACCTGCACAATCACCATCCACAACAGCCGCCTGCCAATCGCCGTTATGACCCCCGCTATGACGAGCCTGTCACTCTTCCTAACCATCGACCTTCTCATCCTTCAGTTGATCAAACGTCGCCTCATCGACCGGGGTCAGCTGCACTACTGAGGCAAAACGCAGAAGAGCTTGAACGTCACAAAAATCTGACTGCCGCTCGACAAGCTCAACCCTCACCCACCCCATCTGTTGCTGCGTCAGAATTTTCAGCACCAGGAGGTAATGCAGTTGGTACTGGGAGCGGTCGTAGAGGCCCTAGAACCAAGCCATCATCGACCAATGGCAATAAGAACGAGGAAGATTATTCGCCTGTGACTCAGGCTCGTCGACGCAAACCTACTCAAGCTTCTTCAAGTCGTAACAATCTTTCACCGACCGCACCTCAGCCACCCGCTTTCGCACATTTTCCTCAAGCCGCTGCCACTCGCCCACCGCCTGTTCAACTGATCAGCGAAACTGCACCTCCAGCCCCTGCTAAACGTGAGCGTAAGAAAGTAGCTAGTACGAAGATACGAAACACGATGAAATCAAAGGTCAACGATGGTTCAAAAGGGCCCTCGCCATCCCCAGCTCCTCCCACATTACCAACAGCTGATCTGAAGCCACTGCCACCAACGCCGCCACCACCACCCAGTGTGATGCCAGACAGAAAAGTCGATGAAGAGTTTGATGAGTATGATGAGGTCGCCGATGCACTCTTGAGCTTTGCAGGTCAACCGCCACCGAAACGCATGTTGGGTTCGCAATCCCAACCACCATCTGCTAGCAGTGCGACCCATCCTAATCTACCTCAACCTCGGGCCACTCATTCCTCAAAACGTTCTTCATCTACCACTCGCACAATCACAGGTCAAAGCGGCAGTGGACTTTCACCTTCCTCTACAAAGAGTCCTCCCGCTGGCGTTGGTAGTGGAAAAAGCGTGGGAGCTGGTTCAGGTCGATCACCTTCCAATTCCTCACATCGATCGCCTATGGAACCTCTCAATAATCCTGATTCCCCAGATTCACAACAACAACAACAACAACCGCAATCCAACGCTGCAAGCGCTCACAACCATGTATCACAGCAGGAACTTCATGTATCAGGGCCTCCCCAACCACTGAAGCGGATGAGAGCTGAAGACTTTAACAGTGTTTCGGATTCTAGCTCAAAGAGAGCTCGATCTGCTGCTATCCCATCACCTATCGATCCATCACCGTCGTTCAATGGCTCTGGCTTAGGCAGTGCAACGAGTAGTAATGGAGTTCCGGTGGGCAACGGTGTCCCGAAGGGGAGTCTTGATGGTCATCCCACTCAACAACCAGAAGAGACAGACAGAGAAGAAGGTGAGGAGATGGACATGATGGAAGAAGATGAGGAAGAGAAGCCGAAGACAGATGAGGGTGAGGAAAACCCTGAAGGACCTACTCAACCCAATGGCAATGCGATGGTGAAGGAAGTAGAAGAAGATGTGGAGGACGAAGAGGAAGAAGAAGTGGATATGGAAGAGGATGATGAAGATGACGGTAGTGGTGCTGGTGCTGGTGAGGTAGAGGCCAATGAATGATTGTTTAGTTTGGTGTGTGTGCTGTAATGCTGCCTTATCTTTTTTTGTATGTTGAAATGTGCGTGATCATAGGCCTTGCATCAGGGTGATCTTTACAACATAACCAATTGTTTTGATTTTGATTTGTTTGTGAATAAAAAGTTAGACAAAAGAATCAATCAGGCTTTTTGTTTTTCAAAAAAAATCTCTTTTCAGTAATTTTAAACTTGGGAGTAATTCTTTTTTTTGTAATCTTTGTTTTGAATTTAATTTTAATGTTTGTATTTTGAGTGATTGGTATGATGTGAGTGAACCCATATGTGCCAAACCTGATACTCCAGAAAACCTGATAATTTTTTGGCCAAATAGATTTTAGAGCACCCACTATGGTGGGAGTGTTTTATTGTAAAGTTTGCGTTCCTGAGCGCGAAGTTTGATCATGCGTGTTTTACCAAAGTTGGTAACCGCGTGAAATCCACTATGGGATGATTTATCGTCTGCTTTCCCTAGTTCCTACGATAAATCAAGTTGTAGGCTTGCGTAAATCTGAGCACACGAAGTGCAAGACTTGACGCAGCCGTACGGACCGCAGGTCTAAAACAGGTCCATAGTGGACATGTTGGTATTTTAGCGTTAGGGTAACGCTAAATCACCGAGTTAACGCAACCATAGTGGGTGCTCTTATTTGCAGTGAAATCGGTTGAAAAACCCATAGACCTGTCATACCTGATAATTGATACTTTTTTTTGAGATCCGAAGGTCAAACCCGAAAATTTATTGGCCTATTTGTTTGTTTGATTTTGTTTTTCCTGTTTTTTTTTTGTTCTACAGCAAAAATCTTCCTCATTACAACTTCACTCGTATTCAGAACTATTTGGAATTGTCAGGTTTTACAAAAATGCTTGCCAATTCGGTTTTGACTCAGTTTTGAGAATATTACAGCGGGAATCTTTACACTGAGTTTGCTTGGTGCAAAGGACCAGGTATGAAATTTGGTATCACTTGGTTTTGAGAAAATTACATCACATCTTTTTACGCCTCATGGTGCAGTGTCAAAAATGTGGTGTAAAGCTACATTTCAGGGTCACCTGATTTTTTCACCACATCTTTTGCTCCAGCTATGTATTTTACTCTGACACAAAAACAAATGAACAAGGGATAAAAGTCCATGAAACCCGATGTTCTATGGGATTAGCAGCTAGACCTCTGGTAATATACTCCCCAGCACCCCTTATCACATTCTGACACACAGGTTTGGTCATATGCTCTCGCAGACCCCTTAAGAGCAACCACCAAAAGGTAATGCCGCCCAAAGCGGTCCACTATCATCCCATCACGTCCGAGTTGTTTCATGCATAAGGCTCAGCAAGGCTTCACCCGTTCACACGGAGGCACCCGCCAACCAGCAAGTGTATGGCATACGGAGTAGCAGCCTAGCAGAAGTAATCAAAGCTTTCCATTAAGAAGTAAATCAATCACATTCATCAGTCGGTGCAATTTGTACAAGGGGCTCATGTTGTGATGCCTACTTGATGTTAAGTTTTTTGAAGATCCATATCATCATTCAACTTGTTTACATTGACGTCAACTACCACATTTCTCAACTTTGCCAACACTTCAATCACTTAACTTCACCTGATTTATTTTATTACAACCTTCAATTCCCTTCAGATACTGTGTATCATTATCTGTTGTATCATACTACTATATCATAAGCCAGTGCGGGTGTGTGCGTTGGGAGCTGGAGGGCAAATAGATGTTGGCCAAGGTGTTTCCCAGTGTGTAGTTGTGTCCCGGAAGGTAGATCACGCTCAGAGTGAAGGTGTTATCTTGTGGGTCCAGGCAGATGAGCACTGGCTATGACAAAAAGTTTGTATGATGTTTCTTTTGGTCAAGCACGTGGGAAGTATGTTAACCAATGCTGAAATGAGAAGGCTGTGTGTATGTATTTAGACATGTCTAGCGGCTAGAAATTAGCCACTAGAAAATTACACGGCCCTTCTGATACTCCCAAGAGGACACTGTAAAAATGCACCTCCCCTCATTTTTTTTTGAATATTCAAAGTAGTTTTCCAACAATATACATATCTTGATAAAAACTTGTCATTTTTCATTTTTGCCTTTTCTGTGTTTTTTGTTTGAAACCATGATCCAATTTTGGAGTTGAAAGTATAATACAAAGATAAAGGAAAGATCTTGTTGAAATTTGCTGGAAATTATATAGAAACTTGAATATCTTGAATTATGAAAAAGTGTGTTTGGTTGGGTTTGAACCTTGGTTTTGATGGTGTATCATTAATACTGAGAAGGGGCCTCTTCAAGAGGCCTTCGGTTCAATCATAACACCCCGGGCAAGGCGGCGACGCTACATATGAAGCGTCGCGCGCACGCTTCGGGTCGGGGCCGCAGAGTCGCATGCCGCTTCATCAGTTCACGACCAGGAACTGTCTGAAGCGTCACCTGCCCCCCTCTCAATCCACTCAATCACGTTCTCACGCGAGAAACCCAACCTCATATCTCATCAGCTTCTCATTTTGACTTTGTTGCCTATTCAACCTCAACTGTGATACTCATCAACGCCAACTTGAAACAATAGTCAGCTACAGTCAATAACCAAATCCAAATTCACTATCAACTTCATAAATTAGTTGTTTGAATTGATCATAATCAATCGTAATCAACAATCAGGTGTTTCTTTGACTTGTTAGCAAAATTCTTGAGATGGACAACAGCGGACCCTCAAATCAATCCGATCCAAAATTCAGTATGATACTTTGTACTTGCATTGAGTGTGTCAAAAAAAAACATACCGACGAAAACGGAAAGCAAAAATCAGGCCTATGGGTTCATCCAGAAACCGCAAGGAAACATCGAAGAAATATGGCTACTGAAGCAGAAAACACGCCAATCCTTGAGGCATTAGCACAAGATTTTAATTCAAAGGTGAAGATTGAAGAAGCTGAAACCAAGGACAATTCTTCTGATTCGGGTTCGATTCATATCAAAGGCCCTGATGATCCCAATGTGTTCAAGCTAGCCTGTAAGATACAAACTCGATTCAAACTTCTTGGTCAAAGCTGACAAAAAAACTCTTTCATCTAGATCTCATAATGTATTTTATTGGTTGGCTATTCCTCGAGTGTAGAATGAGTCGGAATAACTGCCGACAAGCTCGAGATTATGTTGTGCAAATTGTTCGACTCTGTACTCAAATCGACCTCGACGATAACTGGGAAATGTCTGTTCCGAGAGATGTACAAACAATGACCAAGCGCCTCAATCTGGAAGCGACTCTTGAACGATATGCATGCTGCACAAAGTGCTACACTCTCTACGAGCCTGAGGTTGCACCAGCTGAATGTGGCTATCAAGAATTACCAACGACTGATCCTTGTGGCACCGAACTGTTTGCCAATCACATCATACCCGAACTTCCAACCATCACTCGACTTTCTGAACAACGTCCCCGTCTTCCTGTGAAACCACTATTTAAAAAACCTCTATCAACATTTATCATTCAAGAATTTCAGGAATGGTTGACGTGGTTATTGTCAATACCTTATATTGAAGACTCAATTGATGATTGGAAGCAAAAATGTAGAGCAGGTAATAGTGATGAAATTATTGACTACAATCAAAGTGTAGCGGCAAGAAATCTCTACACTGGCACACCATCGTCTAACTCAACATCATCTTCACATCATCCCTTACACTTGGGATTTTCGTTATTCGTGGATTGGTTTAACCCATTGGGAAACAAGACTTCAGGAAGACAAGTCTCTATCGGTGTATTATCTATGCAATGCTTAAATCTCCCACCTCAGGCTTGTCAACAGATGAAGCATACCTTCTTGGCTGGGATGGTTCCGGCGCCTGATCAACCGGACATGACAACGATCAGCCATATCCTCCGACCTATAGTTGATCAGCTACTCATACTGGATCATGGTATTCAAATCAAGACCCACCAACATCCTGAAGGACGCAAAGTACTAGTTCGACTTTCTTATCTCAGCGGGGATATTGTAGCAAATCATAAAGTAGCTGGTTTTATATCTCACTCGGGAACATATTTTTGTTCATGGTGTTTTTTACCAAAGAATCAATTGTCAAAAATGGCCGTTGGCCGTTTACGGAATCGACGTGACGTTATTGGAGCTGCGTATGAGTGGAAGAATTGTGACACTCTAGATGAAAGGAAGCTCAAGCTTGCTAAGACTGGGGTACGATGGTCGGAACTGAATCGGCTACCATATTGGGATCCGGTTAAGGACGTTGTACTGGGGATCATGCACAACTGGTTCGAGGGAGTTCTGGCAAATCACTTCCGCTTTCAATGGAAGTTCCTGGTCACGGATGCGATGATTGGGGCGGATAACAAGGGTTTGGAGGTAGATCTTGAGGCGCTTGAAGGTGGCAAAGGTTGGCTTTCAGACAATCTTATCACTCTTATTCGTCAAAATTTGAATTCGATCAAGGTCCCGCCAGGCGTAACTAGGATTCCATCTGGAATTGGTACTGCAGCCAATGGTAAGCTCAAGGCCAGCGAATGGCATGCGCTCTTTGCTACTCACCTACCACTGGCGGCTATTGATGTACTTATTGGAAACTACCACGATTTTGTGGAGAACCGATCCGATCGTTACCTCAACAACTTGTTGCACAACTTCTGTGCTCTGGTGGAGAGTACTCACATCATGGCTGCGAGGAAGGTTAAAACCAATTACCCAGCAAGATTCAAACAAGCATACTTTGAATATACATTGACTTCTTTTAAAATCCAGGAAAATTGCAATATCAAACAGAAACACCACTACACGATCCATTCATCTAGTCAGATGGAGAGGTGGGGTCCAATGTTAGGTGTTTCAGAATTTCCGGGTGAGCGACTTTGTGGTTTTTTGCAAAAAATCAAAACAAATGGAAAAGTTGGTCAGTACTATATCCATATATGTTTTATGTAGTCAACATGATGCTTACCAAAACGTGCTCATATCTAGAGGAGATGGCACAGACAGTGATGCGTCGTTTCTGTCACACTCAGCGGCTTCTGTGCAAAGCCCCCCCAGTCGACGAAAAAATCAAAATTATACAGCGAAATGTTGGCACTCTTTTCGAAATGGATGACAAGGTGTATATGGATCTTCTGAAATATCATCAAGCTCAAGACAAGGCCTGGTTCGACTATCGTGTGCTCCCATACCCCGATGGAGCACGTATTCTGTCAGCATATGCACGCGAAGTTGGAGTTTTGACTGGACGCAACGGGATGAAATACAGTAAGAAGGTGGCTTCAAACATGGTGAAGGTTGAAATCAAAGGGAAGTACATGTGGGCAAAAGTGCTTCATATTCTGTCATTGAAGGGATCTAACGAAAATGTTGTGTTGGTGAGATGGTTGGAGGTTGTGAGGAATTTAGCGTTGGACCAGATGATGGAAAGATTGAGCATGGTACGTGTGGTGCAAAGGTTCAAAGAGGAATTCATCCCAGCCTCTTCAATTGTGATGACTCTTGCTCATAGAGAGTTGCCTGCCTGGACTCTTGGACTAAACGAACCCAGTATACTTTTGATGGGTGTTAATCCTGGTGATCACGACTATGTGGGATCAGACGATTTAGAGATGCAAATGGAAGCAGGAGGCAATGCTATGGAGCTGGACACCGATGTTGATATGGGGTGATATCTTGTACTCGTCAATTTTTCTTCCTTACTATGTTTATGAACTTGTCTTTCAAGTTGTCTTCTTTAATCTCATCTTCCAAAATTGTTTTTTTTACTTGTTTGTGTTATGAACTCTCTTGTCCATTACTTTCGTTTATTTCCTCTTAGGCAAAAAGATCTTTGTCACATTTCGGAAATTCAGAGCGCATAAGAGAGACTTTCCAAGAAAATTGAGAACATTCAAATTGAAAAAAACAAAGAGAAAAAACAAGGAAAGAGCAATGTTTTGTATGAACATTGTTCAACAAAAACATCACATATACACAACATGACCTACAAAGTAGAAAATTGATGAAGAACGAGAACATTCAAATTCAAAAAAAGAGAAAACACACGGGAAAAACAGGAAAAAACTATATGAAATATGAACATGAGTCAACAAAAAAGATCAAATACACAATGACCATCAAACAAGAAAATTGATGAAAATACATAATAGATCAAGCCTTCTTCCATGAATCAAATCTGGCCGCTCGAGCCTCCTCCTCACCATCATCTTCCATCTCAAGATCATCCACAAACAATGGGCCCTTGCCCTTTCCCTTTCCAGTATCTTCAAAAGCATCGTCTTCTTCAAATTCACCCTCTTCGTCAATATCTTTGTTTTTCCCCGAACACTTAGGACCCTTAGAACCCTTACCAATATCAAAGTCCTCATACTCATCCTCTTCCTCCTCTGCATCCTCATTGTCTTCACCATCACTCTCTTCTAACTCAATACTGCCTTCCCGCTCAGTTGAATTGCCAGACTCGGAATCGCCATCTTCATCTGGTTCCTGATCAATGAAATGATCCAAGTTATACTCCTTAGTAGATTCAGCCCAGTATTTTTCATTGAACCACCTATCGTTTTTTCTCTCGTCTGGGTGAGTTTTACCTAGAAGGGAGAGCTCCGGGTTAGGAAGAAATGCCACACTGTCACAATCAGCAATGTCGAGTCGTTGTGCCACTGAAAGCGAGTTGTTGAACCAATCGGCATCATAGAAATCCAGTGGGAGTCCTTTTGGAGCTTTGGTAAAGATTGATTGTCTAGCTGGTCGAGGTCGGACACGCTGACGTGGTCTAGCTGTTTTCCGGGGATCCAGGTCTGCTGACTGCTTCATATGTTGGTCCAGCCTTCGTATGAAAATTCCAGCTTTGACTGATCGAAAGACTGGCGTTTTGACAATGTAAGCATTCAACGTGGTTGACCACTCATCATCGCTATGAGCCTCAGCTTCCTTGAGGATTTTTTGATATCTGGATGGGAAGTTGTGAACTTTGGCGTGTTTGGATCAAGCTTTCTGAAGCTGAAAACACTGTCTTCAGTTTCCAAACCCCATCACAAGAAGCAAATCAGACTTACTCGTCGGCGACGTGCTAGGACATTCCTCCTCTCATCATCCTTCAAATTCTTTCCTTCTTCCTTCGCCTCTCGCTTATACTTCAGACCATACCAGTAATGAACATAGTGATTGTAGGTCTTTTCGAGCAGAAGTATGTTGTTGGTGAAACCCTTGTTGATATTCATGTATGCAAAGGCATCGTCAGCAACCCATTGACAAAAGATTCGAAGAGCACTGATACGGCAGGCATCGTTCCAGAGGGTATCCTCACTACTGTCAAGATCCGGACACCATTCACGTATGCCGAGTTTAGCAAACATTGCTTTGGTATAGAGTACAAAGAATTCCTTGATGTTGACAATTCTACCACTACCAATGTTCACACGTTCGGCTTTTGGTACTTTCACTTCGCGTTGATCGACAAGGTCTTTGGCTGATGTGCTATCCAATACTGCTTCAATCTCGGCAGACTCTGAGAATCGAGCGTTGAATTCGGTGAGCATTTCGGGATTTGGAGGCTTCGGTACAGCGGATGACGAGGTCAACCCCCAGATGATCCGAATAAAGACATAAAAACAATTCTAGAAATATATGCACAATTTTAGTATTGTCCAATGATCAATTTTGGAAATTCAGATCTACCTTTGTTGGTTCGTATCCTTTGGGTGTTTCACTCATTTTCAATTGGTCGGGATGTTGTTTGGGTGAAGGTTTTGGTGGCCCAGATGTTCGAACGCGAGAGGTTGATGTTTTAGGGGTCTTGGGTGTCGATGATCTTCTCGGAGGTGTGGATGAATGGGCCATTTTACTGGGAGTCCGGTTTGACTTTGAAGGCTTCAAAGAGCTTGAAGTCGGCTTGTTTGGGATTGACCCTGTTGAAGCTCTTGGCTTTGACCTCTGCTTGTTGCTAGAAGGCGAGCTTTCTGCAGTAGCGTTCTTGACACCTACTTCTTGGAACTTGTTGAGAAGATCTTCATACGCCTTTTCTCGAGTGGCAGCCTGCTGCTGCATTTGTTTGATCAACTCGTTCTGGGAGGCAATCTGTTGTTGCTGAGCCTCGTAGTTTTTCTGGAGCATCTCTTGAAGGCTGGCCGGGTCCATTGTGTAAGAAGATGAAGATGATTAACAATGAGAGTAGAAGAAAGTATTGTTGGTTTAAGAAATTTGACAAGGGTATGATGAACGCAACATAAGGTGAAACAGGCCTGAATTTATAGTTTTTCAAAATCTTGGATACACCTATGTAAGACTGCGATCAAAAGGAATTCATCAGTGAATTAATTTTCCTCAGCTCCACACTGAAGATGAACCCACGTAACGTAACTGAGGAGGGAATTATGTAATAATATTCCATAAAACATGCCATTAGCTCATGTTGATCCTGGATTGGTGGATCCCGGCTGAGAGTTTCTTTCTTCTTTTGGCTGACAAAGGTTTGAAATCACGTAAACGGTTAAGGAATGAAAGGTAGGAAAAATACATGACTCATCAGGAACGTGACCCTGAAAAGGGTCCTACGCGTTTGAGCACGGAGGTCCTGTGTCAAAGGAAAGTGAGCGTTGGTTGCTATTTGAATTGTGCTGCAACCACAAGCGATGAGATGGTAAAAGTTGAGTTGTGAGAAAACGGAAAAGGGTCTCTGAGGAGCTGAGAGGGGGGCAGGTGACGCTTCAGACAGTTCCTGGTCGTGAACTGATGAAGCGGCATGCGACTCTGCGGCCCCGACCCGAAGCGTGCGCGCGACGCTTCATATGTAGCGTCGCCGCCTTGCCCGGGGTGTAATCATAATCATCACTCATTCTCAACAATCAATACTCATACTCAACTAGGTATTACAAGTTGAAACCAGACGTGGTGGATTCTTGTAATACCTTTTGTGGGCTCAGTTTTGAGAATATTACATCACATCTTTTTACACCTCATGATGCAGTGTAAAAAATGTGGTGTAAAACTACATTTTAGGGTCACCTGATTTTTTCACCACATCTTCTGCACCTCTGTATTTTACACTGACACAAAACCAAATGAAAAAGGTATAAAATTCCATGTACCCTGGTGTTTTATGGAATTTTACACCAACTGGAGGGGTGTAAGGAGGAAGGTGTAAAAATGCACCTGCCCGGTACAAGACTTTTACACCTACAATTACACAACAGAACTTACAGAGTCAAAAGTTTTGGTGCAAGAATCTTGGACCCAACCATGACCTTGAGTTTCACACCAAAAGTTTTGGTGCAAAGATTCTCATTGTAATTCTGTAATTCAACCACATGGATTTACATTTTCACACTGACTCACATTACCACATTACACCACACAACCTTCTCCCAATATAGGTCAACACTCACCCAAACATCAGATGACATGATACCTGATACTCCCAAATAGTTGCCATTCAATCAAAGATACCACATAAATCACACATTAGTCACATATCTGTGACTACAATACCTTTTATTCCACAAATATGTGATGATACCTCTATAAAGAGAAGCAGAACAGGACACCAAATGATCACAGTCAACCATGCCTCCTTCCCAGAGAAGAAAGATGGGTCAAGAAACTTCTGTTCAGAGCGCCTTGATGGCCAGAATTTCTAGTAGCAGTGGGACTTACAGAATTACGACTGGAACTAATGCTTGCGTTTGTTGAAAACCGGGGGAGACCCAAGGCACCAACTCTGTAATCAATATCAGAGCAACCCTCATCCCCTTATCCAACCATTATCAACCCTCACCATAAACCGGAGGTGTTTGCAGGATTTGATTTGTTTTGTCTAATATCTCAAAGTGAAAAGTAGGTACTCAACTGAACACTGCCAAGTCATGATCAAGACGAATAAGAAATTATCTATGACCTCATTTCTCTTCAAGTCCTACACACTCTTGACTGTCTATTAAACTGCTATCACATGAACGGCCAAATAAGCTTTGGTAGGCAAATAGGTCTAGCGGTCCAACAGGCAATACATCATCTCACTAAGCACACAGCCACCGCCGTAGCTGTTGCAGCACTTTCAGTGGTCTTAAGTATGTAAACTGCTTGATCAACGAGTTCAATGGACTACAACGGCGCCCACATCAACCCATCAACAGGAAATATTACTCAGTTGCAACAGATTCACCAAAAATATGACAAGATAGAGGGCCAGATTCAATGGGTTGAACAGAGCTATCATATGCTAATTGAAGCCTTTGGGGAGGATGAGCTGGTCTGGCAGTTGCAAGGTCAAATGGACACTGATCACTATCACAAGAGCTGGTCTACGGGGTACATTGCCAGCTTCATCAAAGCTTTCAAGGATGTGAAGTTCATGGCGGAAGAATGCACAAAACAATGGACAAAGGATAGAAATTGGCGCTGAGATTTTGCCTTGTGGAAAACAGGAGGATATATCATTTCAAATATAAAATCAAACTATGTGATTCCTGATACCAATAGGCTCTGGACTGGCTTCTCCAAAGCAGTCACAGATCCAGTTGGTCAGATTGGGATTGGCTTAAGTCATCAGATTGTAGTTCAGGCATTGAGCATTGAGCATATTGGTGCAAAAATGGCACAGAAGGACATAACCTTGGCGCCAAAGGACTTTGAGCTTTTTGGGATAGAAGGGGATGGACAATATTCTGCTGAGCTATTGCTTATCAAAGGGCTTCACAACATCAATAACACTCCAACAATTCAAACATCTGAAGCAGAAGAAGGCGATTTCTAGCGTGCTTAGCCTGCTTATCAGAAGGTTGTTTTGAAAATTTCATCCCATCATGGGAACACTGAGTATACATGTTTGTACAGGGTCAGGATTCATGGAGAAGAGGTTTGATGTTGTTGAAGTGTTCAATCAACCCACACTACAAGAAATATAATGTTTTCTGGGCAGAAAATTAAATTATTGATACACAAAAATATTGAGAGGCCAGGAGAAGGGCAACAAATAAATAAAAATATGCATCTTGTTCCCTGCGGTGAGAGCTTCACTCTCCATATTTTTCCGTATTTTTACAGTCCATATTGATAAGTGTACTAACAATAAACCTTCACAATCATCCAATTACAACCTGTAACAAGCACTGAAATTTGGCTCATTAGTGTTTAGAGACACTTTTGATTTCTGAAAATACTCATAACTTTTTCAATTCCGGTCCAAAACGCTCGATTTTGGGTGCATTGGTAAGCTGGAATTGTCCTCCACATAGTTCATAAGAGGACCACACAGCATGCTGGTCTGCTGAAAAAGATATCATCTTTTTTATACATTTGTACATACAGATCCATAGAATGATTGTCATACTAGCTACATAGTTCTTGATCTTATGAAAGTTCGAGGGGAAGAGTTCAGCTTTCTAATGCACTTAAAATCAAGTGTTTTGATGCAGATTTGACAAAGTTATAGGTGTTTTCAGGTATCAAAAGTTTCTCTAAACACTAATGAGCCAAATTTCAGTGCTTGTTACAGGTTGTAATTGGATGATTATGAAGGTTTATTGTTAGTACACTTATCAATACAGACTGTAAAAATATGGAAAAATATGGAGAGTGAAGCTCTCACCGCAGGGAACAAGATGCATGTTTTTATTTATTTTTTGCCCTTCTCCTGGCCTCACAATATTTTTGTGTATCAATAATTTAATTTTCTGCCCAGAAAATATTATATTTTGTGTAGTGCCATTTGATGGCAGTAGCAGTCTTCTGTAGGATTTACGTTGCATCTTGAAAAAAATGAGTTTAGAAAGCCAAATTGTACATTTATCATTATAACAAGAGGTTAAACTTTTTTAAACTGTCCTAATATCATTTGAATGAAACAAGGCATCAAATTGAAACAATGAGGGTTTGCAGCGTTGAATTGAAATGAGTGAGCTGCCTGATTGTCCAACATCTGGGTAACTGGCTGGTTGTCTGGCTTACCAAGGATTCAAATAGGGGATAGGTACAAAGTTAAATCTGGCCATGCGGCCGGATCTTTGGCCAGATTTTATTTGGCTGTGAATTTGGATTTTCTGGCCAAAGATCTGGCAGAAAGATTTAAACTCACAGCCAAAAGAGATCTGGCCAAAAATCTGGCCGCATGGCCAGATTCAACTTTGTAGTTGAAGCCTTCCCGGGCACCATTCCCAGAAGTTGAGAATCCAAATTTACAGCCAAAAATGGAATCTGGACTTCTGGGCACAAGCCGGGGCACGTGACCGGACTTCAACTTTGTATCCCATGATGCATTTTGAAAAAAAACCTTGTGGTTTGAATAATGGTAATATTTCATTCCACTTTATTCTATTGCCATCTTCATGACTAATGTTATCAAATTACAGCCTGCTTTTACTGCTAGCTGCACTGGTTTTAGATTCAATATTAACCTCAATCTTGTACATTACAGGTCATTTTGAGATTTGGAATCTCTAAGAAGAAACAAGAGATATGGGGACAGCTCAAGCAGGGTCATTGCTGCAAGAGTTTGCAACTTCAAGCAGATTTGCCAACATACCAACCTATGAAGTAAGCAACATGTTACCCTCACGGACATATTTGAATACTGATATACCAATTCTATGAATGCATTACAGCAAGTTGCACAAAAAGTGCATTATGGGCTTTGCAATTGTAGATCAGAATTGAAACTTTTGGATATACAATTGATATGTATTATCTTTTTGCCCCTTTTGGTTTATCCATTGATTGTTTTTAAACCTTTGTCTAACTGCCCTGCATTTCTTCTCATTCTCATTCTCATTGTTGACCTGAATCAAATCAGCAGACTTCATCATCATCACAACTTCAATCTGATTTGACTTCATGAGCTGATACTAAATCACAATTCGACCACATAAATTACCACCCAAACCAAATAGATATCAATCAAAAAATCAATCAAGAGTTTTAGATTCATCCTTACCTTCATTTCAAAAAGTTGAGATTGCTCAATTTGCAAAACAAACTTATCAACTTATGAAACATTTGAAATATTTTGACCTTAATTATTGTTCAACTTTTAAGATCTAATCAACTTGACTTGCTCATTTTATCTTGTAGTTTGGTTGCTCACTAGCACTCCTTTCTTACTATAATCTCACTCAAGCTCACCATTTGGAATCCAGCCGTCTCAATCTCACAATACCATTGATTCCTATCTACATACAAGGACTCCAATCTAATCTCAGAACTACGTGATCATCAAAATTAATTAGCAACTCTTAAGATCCTTTACACACTCTCACAGGGGCAAACATTGATGCTCACAACTATGTGAGCGTTGAAATTTTCCTGTTTTGTTCCCATTTGTTTCCAATTTGTTTCCCATTTGTTTCCCTTTTGTTTCCCTTTTCTTTTTATGTTTGTCAGCTGATTACGTGATCATCAGGAACTGAGCAGACAAACTAAGCCTTCCTCAGCATTTATTCCTGAGCAAAGAAGTCTGAGGAAGGGCTGATCCATCTGCTCAGCTGATCCTGAGCGGCATTCCCTGGTTCAGTAAGCTCCAAGGGATGCCACCAATGTATAGCTTAGGGGCTGAGCTGAACTGAGTATTCCCTTAGCTAAGTCTCTGAAGTATCCCCCAGATGGATCACAGAGCGCCAAGCTTGCCTCAAGCTTGATGGCTCCGGAATGAAGCCTGAGGCCCGTCTGCTCGTTCAACTGAGCTGCTCAGTTATTCCTCAGGGGCATACCTGAGATCAGGAGGATCCGGAGGATTTCACTGCTCATTGGATGAGGGGCTGCTCAGTTATTCCTCAGGGGCATCCCTGAGATCAGGAGGATCCGGAGGATTTCACTGCTCATTGGATGAGGGCCTGCTCAGCTAGTCCTCAGGGGCATTCCTGGCCGGATCAGAAGGATCCAAAGGATGTCACTGAGTATTGGCTGAGGGGCTGCTCAGTTGATCTCAGCCCCTCAGTGTGAAAAACTTTATCCGGGGATATCACTGAGGATTAGCTGAGCAATGAGCAGATGGGATGACACTTTTATCAGGCTTCATTCCTTAGCAAGGAAGTCTGAGAAAAGTCCGGCCCATCAGTGATCCAGTCAGGGGATGCTACTGAGCATTTGCTGAGCAGCTCAAATGGGACGCCCCTGGGCAGGCTTCTTCACTGAAAAATGAAGCCTCAGGAAGGTATAGTTCATGTGCTCATCTTCATTTTGAACAAATTGCTGAGTATTCAGTGCCTCATGAGCTGATCCTGAGTACTCATTGGGAATCAGTTATTGCTCATCCAAGATGGAAATGAGCCTTCTCAATAAATGTCAAGTAAAATATGAGAGCCACAGGATGATCACCTGAACACAAACAAGATTGTGAATTGAATCAATCTGAAAGAAAATGGATCTTTTTTGGAGAATTCCAAAAAGTCTACAACGCTCACATGTATGTGAGTATCTATTTTGGCCCCTGTGTCTTCATACTCTTGATCAATCATCTCGTTCAGAGGATTTGGAAGAATCTATCCCAGCTCACAATATGCAACCTGATGCAAGATCTAATAAACTTCCTAGATTTCTAGAACAAAGGCCTACTCCACTCCTTGTTAATATCTTGGAGACTTGTAAACAAAACTCATCTACTTCTGCTCAAATTTCTACATTGAACATTCCAGTCACCCCCCTCAACCACCCAATGATCTTGATTTGATTCCCACACTCTTTGTAAGTCTTCTTCTAATTACAATTTCATTTTTAATGTTCAAAGATAATCAAAGTTGTTACTTATGCAAACAATCCAGTCTCAACCTCCTACTACATCACTTCCTACCATAGTCAATCCATCATATCAAAAACACCAACTGAACCAATTGCTTTTGCAAAACAAAAACGGATTTGTAAACAAGCAGCGGGTCCATGTGTACCTTGAAGAGAATCCCAATTAAATGAAGCATTTGATTGTTAGACTCAAAGCTGAATTACATACACTAAAACAAAGCTATGATGGTATAAATTTTGCTAGAAGTTGGGAGATTGGAGTGAGATACATTCACTTATAAACCACTTTGTCTTTCTCTCTAAATCATGTCAATAGTATTTCTTTTCTTGATTGAATCTTTGTTGTAAATGATTAGATCTTTTCCACATTACCAACCACAAGGGTGAAAGAGTTGAATGAATTGGTTGTTGGAAGATTGTCCCAACCTGCTGTACTCCTCACTGCAATATTTCATTATCTTGCAAGATCAATTGATCATGGTAAATTCACTATAAGCAAACGCAAGACCAAGGCAATTGCACACTGTCTATAAACTATCCATATTCTCTCTACTTAAACCTGCTGTACTTGAAGATTATGTAGTCTGTGCGGTTGATGGTATTCCTAGGCATGATGGTACAAGTTGTTTTAATGAGAAATGGGATGCAGGTTTTGTGTTGGCTTTAGAAGGGCTTTGTTTTCCTGATCAAAGAGGTCTTGGAGTATCAGGTAAATTGGACTGTGACAAGCAGGTTCTTCAAACGTTTTTTTCTAAATTTCTCTCTTTGATGTGATACAGAGGATTCAATAATCAATTTCAAATCATTTCGGCAATTAATCAAGTTATTGGTGCCAGGCTGACTTGAAATTGTAGACCAAGATCTTAAAGGAGATGGAACCTCAATTGATATAAGTTAATAAGTTTAGGTCTAATTCAAAATCACATCCACAATTGATATCATCTTTGCTGGAATGTGATCTTCACAATTTGCAGAATTAGAATTACAAATTGGAGAACCTTATTGGATGTTACATCAAGGTAATTGTGAACATGTCTTCACAGTAGAAAAAATAAGGTGATTGATCAATCTGAGTTACTTAGCAATACCTTGAAATTAACAACAAACCAATTTGAATGATGATGAGAAGAGTTAATTGTTACCATAGTTTGTATGGATATCAATGTAAGGGTTACTCAACTCAGAATTCCAATCCATCAACAAACAAAAACAGAATTTATATACTTGAGCATTAGCCTACTTTGACCAACTTGACACCCAACAGCCAACTCACAGCAATTATCAAAGCCAACATCTGCACAATTATTGCTTTCATTGAGTTTTAAAGCATTGTTCAGTAATATAATCAGTCCATTTTTGATTGAATGCCAAGGCAAGACAATGAAGTTGTGAAGTCAAAGAAGTATGATAAAGAAGCAATCATGATCTATCAGAATTTGAGGCAACATTATATTAAGAGCAAGAAGATGAATGAGAAGGCTTACAACAATATTTGCTATTTGAAAGAAGATCAAATCATGTCAGCTTTATTTGGAAATATGTTTTCCGCTTGGGTGCTCTCAAACTCAATAACATGAACCGTTGAAAACCCATGATCCTCAATAGATCATCAAACTTCAGTTGCACAAATCTCTTCTAATCTCTTCTTTGTCAATTTTTCACTTGGTTGTTACCCTTTGGTCACAATTCAACAGCTCATAGAAGCAATTGAGAATTTACCAATTGCCATCAGCTGCTCAGAGCTTGAAGTTTATTCAAGTTGTGCATTGATCACCTTTGATCATTTTTATGCATCAATTAGGAAATTTTGAAGGTTGCAAAAAATCCAAATCTGTCCAATGGAAGTTTAGAATTGAGGTGCAGTTCAAGTTAAATCACCAATTGCATTGATATTGTGGAAAGTGAGGTCAAGTATCTGAGTTTGAAAAGGTGAGGTGATGTTGAAGTGGTACATTGAGGTCTGATGAGTATTTTTGCATCCTTGATTGATCACATGTATTGTCATGTCTAAAGTCAGGTTTCAATGAAAAGAAACAGTGATCAACAGTTGTACAATTACAAAGTTTTTAACATGACTTGATAGCCATTTGTGGATTTTGAGAAAGGTTTGCATTTGCTTCAAATTTTATGAGTTCTCTATTTCACAAGATCATTGAGTATATGTGTGTGTTGATAACTGAAACATGTTTAAGTGATGACTTGCATATTTACAAAGTGTAGAAACAAGTATTCCTAGATGCATTAATTTTGGATTCACAGAATTTGCTCAAGTGAACACACCCTTAGGCTGTTTTTGCTTATACACATTCCATTGGAATGTGCATTATGTGAATTGTACTTTTCAACAATGAGCCATGCTCCATCAAACCAACACTTTGAATTTTCCAGAACATAAATTCTCACCGGGATTTTCTTAAGTAAAAGTGCCCTTACCACTTATGTGCCTGCTTGAAAGTAGAAGTGAAATTGAACTGCTTGGGTGGACCTGCCGCCAATTGTGCAAGTAAATCATCTACCAGAGGTATCATTAACACCCATAATTCCTTCACCTCTTTCAAATTTGTTATCTTTCTAATAATAAACATCACAAACAGATTTCATGTTTTGATGGAGTTGATTCTGATGGTGAATTGGTGGTTGGTCCATTTTGCTCAGGATGTGTGCTCAATGTGTATCACGTCTAGAAGTACCATGCAGATATGAGTCTGATATATGTTGTATATCAACCGTTGGTTGTTCAGGAGGGGTGCCCCCAGCAGCCGCCTGATTGTGCATGGGAAAGAAATTCCACATCTCTCAAAGTCCTGCCGTATTGGGGTTGCCTGGGTAGGTTAGGTGGTTTTTTAGGAATAGAATAAACTCAAGCAATGTGAGTTGAGCTGTGTTCAGATGTGAGCTGTTTGGGTGTGGATGTTGGTGCTGTTTTTGGGGATGTAAAATTTCTCACAACAGTGTGCCACCAAAAAACTCTTGCTTGAGGTCTTCCCCGCTATAAGCAGAGGCAATCTTCAACCTCTGTACACACCTCTCTGTCATGGACTTCCAGACAAAGCTGTACCTTGGTCGGTGCTCACAATGACAAAGATGATAATATTATTAGATGAAGTATTGAATGAAACTTATACTAATGAACTTGAATCAAAACCATCAACTCAAAAAACAGAAGAAGAGTTTGAAATCAAAGAAGAAAAAACTTTAAATCCAAAAAACAACAACATATGTGACATACATGTCTTTCCTGAGTCAGATCAAGAATAATTCATGTCAACTTCGACAGCATTCCACACCAAAATCTCCTTCACTTTCAGCATATCAACCTCAGATTAGGAAATCTGAGGCATTCTTGGATCTGAAACCTTGGAGAGAAGCTATCCAAGGTTTCGATCCAAGGTAATTATTGGTGCATAATGATACCTTGGACAAAAGTCTGGGATAAGATCCATCCAAGGACTTGCATCCACCAACACCTTGGATATTGCAATCCGAGGCATCTATGTTGGCGGTGCTTGATCAATTTTGAAGCATTAAATCCAATGATTGAGATATATTGAAGCCATTGACCCTGTACATTCTTTGCAATTTCCTGTGTTCAATAAGGCACAATTTGGTGTTTGTTGTACTTCCAAAAGAAGTGCAAAAGCATTTGTTCAAAAGTTCATATGTCAAAAAAGAAAGTAATAGATGTGGTTGTCTGTGTCATAGACTGAAGGAGACCTTTATATCTTTTCAGACTATTCAGATGAAGACCACATAGTTCAAAAATTGACATGATCATACTCATTAGTGTGCTACTTCCTTTGGATATTTGAAGCCCCAGATAGTGATATGCTTTGCTTTCAAGTAGCATTCATTCTTGCCTACATTGGAAACATTTTCAAGCCACAGTGTCCTCAGAGTTTGAAATGGTGGCGCCCGCCGCCCAATTGGCTAGTTTTGATGAAGATCCCAGTGAGCCAGTGCATGAAGTATGAGGTGGAGTTCATTGGAAGGTTCTTTCACAGTGAAATCCACATTTCCAACATATTTTTCATACTTGCCAATCAATTTTTCCAGATTGAATAACAAAGTGATTGACCACCTGGATGGTGATGTAAAGATTGTATCAAAAATCAACTCCAGGAATGAAAGCATGTATTTTTCAGGACTCGCACGTCATTGAGCTGCCTGTGAACGCTCTGATTTTCCAAATTTTCTGCTCAAAAGTATAGTGTCCTTGAGCTTGTGTAAGACATGGCTGGCATGGAAGTATAGTTTGGCCTGTCCAGGTAATATAACAAAGAGGCATCTTCATGATGTGATTTTTTGCAACAACTGGATGGATCCTGCCCTTGATCTTTGTCAGCCCTGAGCCCTGATTACACAACCACGGGCTAACAGTAACACATGTAATATTATATCATTGTATAAATCCATAAGTACATCTGAAGGCTCAGTGTCAAGAGCCACGTAAACACATGTACATAATGTATTAAATATGTAACAAACCTAACCCAAGCGCCAACCACAAGTGAGACAAGAATCACACGCCAACCACAAGTTGACGCTTGACCTGTGAATATATAAACCCCCCTTCTTCCCTTGATTCATCCCCCATCTTTTAACACATCACAACATCAGAATCACATTATACTTGAAATCCTATAGAGAGGATCCTCAAGTATGTGATTAGTTGTGTAGTCTAAAGACCAAAATTGAGCATCACGGGTTCTATTGCTGAGCACCCCGGTATTGATTTCTACGAGCCTTGGGCCATCATATCCTCTAGAAATAAACCGTAAAACAGCAAAAGCTTCCTCCCTTATATGGAGTCTAAAGTAGCCTTCAGGATCTTTGGTTCACCAAAGTGTAAAGCCTGCCCCTTGCAGTCTCACAAGGTTAGAGCGTACTAGCTCTTCACCGCCCTTAATCCCTTTCTCTCTTCCTCAAATCCTCTTCTTAGAGGTCAACTAGCTGTAGTCTTCACTTGGGTGTACCACGTGAAGACCACACTTTACTTCCCTTATCACTTTCTTAGTGAAGAGTACGCCTAACAGACGCGCACTCCTCACAATCTTATTTCAGCCTTGTAGCACCTCATGAATTGGCCACAACCAATCAAGCTGTCAGTGTACACTTGGAACACAACTGAATTGGGTCGGAAACTTGATTTATTTTCATTTTTCTTGAACATGAGCATCAGCAAGTCTCCTTCTGTCCAAATGGAAGGGAGTCTAGGATCTTGAAGTTCCCAATCAATTTTGTTGGAAGCCAAGTTTTTGCTATCAGTCAACAGTTCTGCATTCCTCACTGAACAAACAAGGCAGACAAACCAATTAGCTGCCCTCTTTGATAGTATTGAGCTGTCAGTTATCCTGAAGACTCACACTCTCCCTCTATTAACAGCCCATCAAGCACATTTGCTAGACTATCAACTTGATTTTTCTCATCTGATGAGGCTCCCAAGTCCTTTTCAGGTGTCCACATTTTAATTTTTCCTGTATAATTTAAACAAGAACTTGGATTAGGCAATATCACAGTAACAGTGGGGAGAAATGAATCAAGGGAACTTTTCACCTCCTCACTTGTTTCAGCAGAAGCCAAGTGTTCTTTGCAGTGAGAGCAGACCTGGGATGGTAGTTTCAAAGACCGGCAGCTACACATCTTGCAGGGTACATGAGTATCAACCAAATTTGGGTGTGAATTGATCCACCTGCAAGGATTGCAAATGTTTGACTTGAGAGGCAAGGCTGATCTTGCAATTTATGGGTACTCAATTTTGCACACACCCCATCTGGGTGTGGTGTTATTTGAGGAAGTTGACATAGTGTCTTTCTTTGGACTGACAATGTTAAATAAATAAGATGTAG